AAAACATACCGCATGGAAATAATTAAATAAATGAACAGGATCTCTATGGTCTTCACTTGATGATTTTATTTTTGAAAATTGTTTAAGATTTGGATAACCACAACAAATGACATACCATTCATATAACAAAAAATTATAATGTTTAAATTGAGGGCAATTTGTTGATATGTACTTCATCACAATTGCAAAAACTGTTTTCCACCAAGGTAATTCATTTTTCATTGATGAATTAACAAAATCAAAAATAGAATCTTCAAATCCTATTGACTTTAACCACCAATAAATATCCCCATTTTCTAATTTTTTACTATGAACAGTATGCTGTTTTTTTTTTCCATCGTCATAGTATTCAGTAATAGTACTATTTGGTTTAAATATACTATAAATTATTTTTCTTATTTTCCTTGTTGCTTTTAAAGGAGAAAGATAATTTGGATAACATATAGGGCTGTGTTTACTTGAAATAGACCATGCACCTAATGTAGTTGAATAAGAATGTTCAATATCATATAAATTTATTCCAGGTATAATAACTGGTTTTTCTGGAATATATCGAGTCATTCTAACTGTTTGAAATATCCCATTTTCAAATTGTTCTTTTTCTTCATCACTATCTAATGAATTCATAATGAGATTATGTAAATCCATTTCACCACCAGTAAATGATTGAATAAAATTAATAACTGTTGGTATAACATTGTCAAAATTAAACTCTAGTCCTAAATTTTTAAGTAATTTCTGATTAAATGATTTAGTAAAATCATTTCCACATAAACAGCTAAAGTATGGAATAAATGGAGTAGAAACGTTTATTTTTCTTTTACAATCTTCACAACAAACTCCCTCAAAAGTGATTTGGTTTAATGGTTTCTTTCTTGAACTTGCAAGAATTATAGAAGAAATAAATGGATATGGAAATATAACATTTAAAGCACTTGAAAGATAAAAATCAGAATCCCTAGAAATAACTGCGTAAGCTTTTCTTTTTATAGAATTTGCAACAACAAATGGATCTGCTTCTGAAAAGGCCCTAATAAGTTGGAACCCTGTTTTTACAATTAGGTGGTATGTTGCTCTAATATGAAGAATACAAATTTGCATGTTTGCTTGATTGACTGTATGAGGACTTGCAAAAAACTTATTTCTACTTGTAACTGATTGTTCGATTCGACGAATTAATTCTGTAGCTTTACGAAATGGATTAATTCCTTCTCTTACAAATATTAATGATATATAATTTTCATCGCAAATTTCTTTTAAGTCTTTAAGGAACTTTTCAACTGCTTGTAAGTTATGACTAAAGTGTGATAATAACTCAAACATGAATGAACTTGAGTCAACTATAAGCACTGTCTCTCTCTTTTTTTGATGAAAATATTTTTCAGCTACCCAAAATAACTTTAGTCTTCTTGTACATGGACTTAAATATGTTTTCAACTGAGAAATGCCCATTAAGGGTTTTGAGTTTTCATCACTAAACTTTTTTAAAAACAAACCCAAAAATTGAAATGAAATTTTATCAGTTATAATTTCAGAACAATTGTAGTGATGTTATCTGTTGATCCTTTTCCTATTGCTAATTGTGTTAATGATTTTGCTGATGTTGTAAATTCACAATTATTTGATTCTAATACTTCTTTAATTTGTATTCCATTGAGTGTATCCCATAATCCATCACATCCAAGAACAATATATTTATATTCTTCTTTCCATTCAACTTCTTTAACAAATGGTTCTGATATAATCCATTGTTTCATGTGATGATCTCCTAAACTTCTTGTTATTGCAATAACACCATTAACTCTTCCACTAAATATCATTCCACCACTTTCTTTAATTCTTTTTGATTCATCTTCATTTGTTGTTTTATGTTCTTCACTCATTGAAATTATGTCATTTGTTCCTATAATAATTCCACATGAATCTCCACAATTTGCCATATGAATTATTCTTTTCTTTTCTTTTATTTCAATAATACACAATAATCCACAACACCCTGAATATTCAATTCCATTTTCTTTTAAACTCATATCCATTTCGTACATTGCATCTTGCATCATTTCTTCAAATTCTTCATCTTTTCTTTGTAAAACTTCTTTAATTTTATCTTTAACAATTTTAGCACAATGTTGTGCTGCTGTACGTCCTCCATGTCCATCAAAGATTGCATATAATGAATAGATATGACCTTCTATTTCAATTAATGGATCACAAATAACATGAGCATCCTATTTGAATTAACTCTTTTTTATTTCTTTTGATTCTTGAAAACAAACTTCCATTGTTCTTCGTTTTGGATAATTTTTATCTGAGTAATATGAGTATTGAGAAACAGTCACTGGGTTTGATGGTATTTCACTCATTCCACTATGAAATATTCTTAGTTCTTTTCTTTTTGTTTTTATCTGAAAATGTTGTTTTCACATTGTTTAGTTCTTCTTGTTTTAATGATGGAGAAGAAGTAACAATGGTGGTGGTTCATTGGTATTTAGAACACAAAGGAAAAGAGGTATAAATGAATGAGAGAAGAGTGATGAAGAGAAAATAAAAGAAGAGGATAGTAAAAATACTAGAAGTAATAATAAAGAAAGAACCCTTCAAAAGGAACAAAGAAAGAGAAAACAGAATAATGTCTGAAGAAGAACACACGAAAAGGGGTGATGAAGAAAAAAGTGAAACAAAGAAAATTAAACAAAAACAAGAAAGAAAAGGAAAGAAACAAAGAAACACTGAAAGAAAAGAAGAGAAACAAGAAAAGAGATTTGACCGAAAAGGATTAAGTCGGGAAGAAAAAGAAGAGTTACATAAAGAAGACCAAATCTATAGAACAATATTCATCCAAAATTTATCATTCAGAACAACTGAAGAAGAACTCAAAGAAAAAATGGGAGAATATGGGGATGTATCATATTGTAAAATTTGTATGGATAAAGAAAAAGGTATTAGTAGAGGAACAGGATTTGTTTGTTTCAGAAAAAGAGGAGTAGCAGATAAAATTATTGAAGAAGCATATATGTTTTCAGGGAATAAAGAAAGTGATATTGAAATTGATGGAAGAAGATTAATTCTTCAGAAAGCAATAAAGAAAGAACAAGCAAAAGAAACAAGTGATAGTAAAAAAAAGAAAAAAGAAGGAATTAAAGATAATAGAAATGTTTCATTAGCAATGGTTGGACAAAAAACAAAAGAAGAATATCTTCAACTTGGATTAACACCAAATGAAGCAAAAATTCGATTAAAAGCACAAATGGAACGAAATAAGAAATTAAAAAATGTTAATTTCTGTGTTAATAAATATAGAGTGTGTGTAAGAAATATTCCAAAGAATTCAAATAAAAAGATGATTATGGAAACATTTGGGAAATATTGTATGAAAGGGAAAATATCAGATATTAAAATTATTAAAGGAGAAAGAGGAAAAGCAATTGGATATTGTTTTTTGACATTTACAGAAGCAGAAGATGCATATCAATTTGTAGAAAAAGTCAATGAGAGTCTTCAATTTAAAGAACAAAGACGAGTTATAGTAGAATTTTCAATTGATGATATGGTTAAATTACATAAATTCAAAGCAGAAATGGAAAGAAGAAAATTTAATCAAGAAAAGAAGAAATTCATTGAAGAACATTCAGTAAACAATGTTGGTAAAAGAGTCAAAGTTACTTCTCTTCCTAAAGAAGTTATTAAATCAGAATCAACAACAAATATAAAGAAAACAAAGAAGAAAGGAATAAACAGAAAAATTGGAATAACAAAGAAATTTAATGCAAAGAAATCAGTATTATTATAAAAGATTTTCAATGAAACACAAGAAATTATTGAATGGTTTTTGAATATTTTAATAATTCATTCATCTCATCTTCTTTTTTTTTAATAAACTATTGCAAATATTCAACACTATCAACCATAAAATAATAATTATATCTTGAAGAATATATAAATAATGAATATAAAAATCATTAATTCTTTAAAGAATATTAAAAAGAATAAAAAAAAACAAAAATTAATAATATAAGTTTCAGTATTTCTTGTTTTTCTCCTTCACTTTTTTCAGATGAGATTACACTCCACACTTCACTCTCTTCTGAGTTTTATTCATGAAGTACTTCTTTGTCTCTGTATTTACCTCAACTATTTCGTTATATATTTTATGTTCATATTTATTATATGTTTTAACGTTATTCAGATTGTTTTATAATATATAGTTTTTCAGTATCATTCTGTTTCTTTATTAACTATTCCATTTATTACAATACCATTAGAACTGCTTTTATTTTGTATATTATTTTATATTATTTTATTTTGATCATTTCTATCTATTTCTTCTTTATTATTAAATATAAAAATTATCTTTTTATCAATTGTTTACCATTACTTTTATTTATTTTATCATCTATAAATATATTGTTGTTTATGTTTTATTCATTTTTATTAATACTTGTTAATTCAATACTATGAACACTTCATTATTTTCAATTTTTGAACCTA